GAGAGAGAGAGAGAGAGAGAATTTGGAAACCCTCCCCCATCCATATTTGTTTGTATATATATATATATATATATATGTGGGTGTATATATATATGTGCATAGGGTTCTGAACTTTCCAGAGACCCCATAAGTGAACAAAAATCTGATGAAATGAGTTTCATCTTAATTCTCCATTATCTCTCACTCAAGGGCTCCATCTCTTATCATCACTTATACATCAAACCCTAGCTACCTATCTCCCACTAATTAATCATCCTTAATTTAATTACCGATTTTGTTAAGTTATTACCGTTTCAAACGAAACAATACTACTCTAATTACATAACACATTCAATTTTACCGAAGAAAAAAAAAATCGTTCACACATATATCAATTTGTAATTAATACTAACTAGTAGATTCTTGAAATCTTGATTTAACGCTAATTTAGAACGATAAGCGTCGTGATTAAGTCGTCGTCGTTGTTAGATTGGCGATAGAAATGTGTCCCGTCACTACACCATAAAAGCCCTTTTCTAACACTTATATCCGTTAGAAATAATTTTTCCAACGGCGAAAAAGGGTTAAAAAACGCGTGTTAGAAATTCAAGGTCGGAAATTGCTAACGGATATAACCGTTAGAAAAATTAACAGTTCCGTTAGAAAAATAAATAATTCTAACGGTTATATGCGTTAGAAATACCATTCTAACGGTTTTGATTGTAACACGCTAACTAAATTTCTAACGGATATAACCGTTAGAAAAAATTACAAGATATTGAAAAAAAAATTATTATTAATTTTATATTTTTCATTTTCATCAAATTTAAATTAACATGCACATTAAGTTTAGCAATATATTAAAGCATTCATCAAATAACTGTACATAAATAATGGAGTGCAAATAATACTATCAAAATATTTAAATATATTTCCATCAATGTAAAAGCTGATAAGAAGCCCAAATAAGTGAAAATATACACAATTTTCCATTCCAAAAAACTTATAAGTCATAACTTAGAACCAAATGAGATACAACCAATGTACATATGATCTCATTTACAAAAGTAGAGCTCCGATAATAGTGCGACGCAAATTCTCCGACATCCGGGAATTAGAAAATATTGATGTGCTAAAGTTCAAGCCAGTAATCTCAAAGGTGAAATCTTCCCAGCAAGAACTACAGACGATGTACTCTGAGATACCATAAGAAATTATGAAGTGCTTATTGATGAGAAAATTATTTTGAATCAAATAAAGAATTCCAAACCATATATATACCTGGATATCATCATTGAGCATAAGATGACTTATTCGGTATTTATCAAGAGGATTGAAAGCATTGGGATTTGCAATGTCTTCAAACTTCTCATATATATATGTATATATATATATATTTATGAGAAGTTTAGTTCAAAAAAGCAGCAAAGTGCAAAAATAAAATCATTAAATATACATGATTGACATACCTGTATAAAGACTTCCTCACCAAAGTTCTGTTCAATTGCAGACATGAACTCTTCTGGGAGCTAAGCATATTTCTATAAGCAAAAAGAATGACCAGTAACACCTCGTTCATAGAAAAAAAGAAGACATCATTTAGATATGTGCAGTTATAATCCTAATAACAGATTATAAAGTTCAAGCGTAACAAAAAAAGAGAGATGATAAAAAATCCACACTTAAACAAAATAATAGATTATAAAGTTCAACCTAAGTGCAATGTAGAACCTGGTGGACTTGAGAAATAAATCAGTGCAGGTACAAGGCCATCAAGTTTTGAGTTTTTTTTTTTTTTTTTTTTTTTTTAATCTAGTAAACTATAATCAATATTAGAAAAGCTACTCTAATGTAATCTCATAGCTCACTTGTTAATCTAGAGGTAGAAATCTAAAATTGCTACAGATACTAACTATATTAATAACAAAACATCTCTGTGCAACACAAAAAAATACTACAAAAGAGCATAACAACCAAAAATTACTCTATTGAACATTGTATATTTGTATGTTCTTAAATTTCTGGAACCGCATATACTTGTTTTTAACAATTGGAAAGATCTGAAGCAATACATAAAAACAAAAGAAACAAAGATTATTAACTCTACTTTACTAGTATTAATCTTAAGAAACACAAAAACTAATATATTAAAGATCTAACATGTATTTTCTCCACGTCTTTATTACGAGAATTTTCAATTGTTGCTACTCTCCTTGTCCTAATAACATCCATCAAATTCCTCTTCTGAATGATTCTAGCTTCCGAAATTACTTTTTAGTTAGGTTGGGTTGAAAAGTGGCACCCTTCGATGTTGAACTAATTTCTTTTTATTTTTTGAACAAAATGATAAATAGAAACAAAAAAAATTACCTCAAATTCCTGCTATCGCTCTAATTTTCGTTGCTCGATGGTGGAAATTGGACAAAAATGGAGTGTGGTGGTTGGTGAGGGAATTGAAAGTGAAAACCCTAGACCCTAAATCGCTATCGTTGTTCCGTGGGGATGAAATGGTGCTTTAATTTGCATCTGTGCTATAAGACTGTTCCGATGGCCAACGGCAGAGGCAAAGACGGGGCGAACGGTGGAGGCGGAATTGGAGACGGAGCGGACGGCGAAGGCGGAGACGGCGACCTTCTCGTAGTTCCTCTGTCCTCATCAAACTATCGTGCAGAGGAAAGGGAAGGGTTGATGTTTCTCTTAATTAGATATTAAACCTTTAATCAATATATATTAAAATAATATAATTTAATAGAAAGTAATATACTTGTAAAATTATTAATCTCAAATAAAAAAAAATGAACGAATATATTACTAACGGACATAACTGTTACAAATATTTTGTCAAATTGTTAGAAATTTAATAAAAAATGTAGATGATTAATACTAACACATAAGTTCAAATTCTAACGGTACATAACCGTTAGATATTTCTAACGGGCCATATATGTTAGAAATTACAAACTAATGGCGTTAGAAAAATCCCATTTTGGTGTAGTGCGTGTTGTCACTAAAAAGAGTGGCATGATAAGGGTTTTTCTTTTTTCACATTTCTACATCTTATCTTAACTTAAAGCTTCAAAAGAATCAAAGATAAGATCTTCTTTATTATAATCATTAAAAAGAAAGAAAGAAAAAAAAAACCAAATAAACTGTTAACACTATGATCATATCCAGCTAATACATATATGTATATAGATATAGAAAGAAAAAGAAAATCTGTATGGTTTCAGACAAGCTGTGGCCCTTAAGTGAGTTTAAATTTAGTCCACAAGCAACAAATGTAGGGACAAAACAAAACCAACTGTGTTGACAATATTCCACCACACTATGAGCAGA